TATTAAATATTTGATACAGGGTTTTTTTTCTCATCATGAGAAGAAACCTCAGTAAGAAAACATGAAACAAGGGCATTTGATTAACGGACTGTCATTGGGCGCACCACTGACGCACTTTGGCTAGTCTATTCACCGCATCCATAGCAGAGGACGCGTTATGCAGCGCGTCTGGGTATATGATATCAATACACCTCGTGAGACCAGTCAACCTGTGGATTCTGTCCGAGTAGCCTATTCAAAAAGATCCATACAGACAAAATCCACCTTTCAATTATTTAGTTGAAAACCGGAGAGAATAATGGACATGAGAGGAACAAACCTCCATACAGAACTTCTCTCATATTATTTCGAATAGACAACATTTAGGAGAGAGATGGACAGCTTCACATCAAGTAAAAAGAGATTCAATTAAGTCATAATTTATGGAGGTTTAGGAGGATATGGAAAAATAAATTAGTATAGGTTCATTGTCTGTCACCTGATATCTAAAACATGACCTGAAATAAATATTATGTGGCGCACTGACTGACTGTATACACCAGGGTGCCGGGGACTGGGTGTCGCAGGCTCCCCTCATCTCCACTAGCCTATATTTTTTGGAGGTAATGTCCTATCAAATAATATTGGTGTAAATAATTGGGGCACTAGGCCTATGTGTAGTTGAATTAGCATTTAATTGTCCAGTGGAATATCTATTAATTTAAGCAATTAACCTAATGCAGCGTTTAGGTCATGTCGGAATCTCAGAAATGTCGGACTTGCTAACCTAGGCGAAAGAGTCGGCTCCGAGTACCCCCCACTTGAGAGGTATCAGAATCAACCAATAGGAAGCTCTACACAAATAACTTAAGTTCCTTTTAACTCGGAGGTCCCAAGTTTCTACATGACATGAACGCGTCATAAAGCAACGACGATCTATAATATGAATCAATAATACATTGATTCAGTGCTCATCTTGTAGTCTAATTATTGAAGGTATATGATTGATGGGAATACGTGACCCAAAACTACACATCCACCATCGTCTAGTAGCAGTGGTACACCCACCCTCGACCCTGGGTACCTCTGCCTGAATCAATCAGAGGCGCCACGGAACCAGTTCCAAAGTTCCCATCCAAGATCCTAATAGCTTTCCATACCTTTAGAAACGAATACATCCATGCGCTTACAATAACAATGTTAATGCACCACATTGCGTTAAAATGCGCAGACATAGCAATAGAATATCACAGCTAAAAAGAGAGAAACTCAAATAATTTACCTTCCACTGCGTAAACCGTAGTAATCACGCATAAAATCGCTAACAAATCCACTGGCATGGCAAAGGTGGTCTGCCTTTCCTCTGCCTTTAAAAAAGGTGTAAACACAAATCCTTCAGCTGCCACAGAATAGTATTCCAGCAGTGCGTATGTTGAATCACATTTCAAACCGTACTGTACGCAATGTTTGAAAACCTAGTAGGTTACTTGGAGGATGAGGCATGGACGTGATAAGTGAATCGGGATGAGAGATAGACCTTGGCCCCCCTTCCCTCAACAGCACTTCTCACTCCCCTTTAACACCTCGTGGCCAATCACGGAAAGCGGATCTCAAACCAATCGCAACAGAGCACCCGCTCAGAATCCTACCAACATTTTTAAACTACTGAAAAGCCCCCTGCTTTGCCATCCGCTCTGCTGCAGGGAAAGAGCAACGACTAGTGGTCCAGATAAAGCACTGCATGCACAGCTTCACCTGATAGGGGTTTCTTATCAGATGAATTTCACTACGGCAATAATGTGATTGCATTTTACCATTTATTTCTCACGCTATTCCATAAATCTAAGCAGTCCATGGTGTTTTATGGCTATACATAGTCACGAAAGCTATTTCCATATCCCATGGTGATATACTGAATTGTCACCTGTAATATCTCTATTTGCTGGGAATTAAACCCATCACATGCAGGTCAACGAAAGAATCAAAAAACGTATATCTGCCATCATTTATGATAGACCACCTAGTTGATTAAGTAGACTCGTAGATTTATGAATGGTTTATGTTCTGCAGGAGCCTATGGCAGATTTAACAGTCTATTCCAACAACTGAGACCATTACTGTGTCATCATGGCACTGCATAAGAATTTTAAACATGTGCATTGAAGTGACACACTGTAAGCCTATGAAATGGTTTGGATTGATGTCCTCTATACTAACACCTTGAAAGTCGTTTGTTGTCAGTATGAATATTCATTGTGTTGCACTTCATTCACTGTACTTGCTGCTGTGTTCTAGAATCAAATTAAATTAATATGGTAATATGTTTTTGGTAAAATGTAGTACATTTCAGATGTTGTAATAGTAATTTGGGTAGTATGAAGAAATTGTGTCTAAATGCATAGGCTACTAGTGTTGCATTTAATGTTTACATAATGTGTATTCACAATTTTATATTCAATTGTGGCTCCACTTAGTTCCCATGTACATCTTATGTACAAAATTATATCTCCCATTACATGGAATATACAATAACTTTGCTACCCTCACTAATGAAATACTAATATTACGGTCTGCCTAAATGAGGGTGGAGAAGTCAAGAGCCTGAGACTCAGCAGCCCAAGAAGGCCCCAGACAGACAGGACACACAATAATATAGGCAGGGTGTGTGCCAACAGTCGCTGCTCTGCCCCCTCACACCCCACTGTGTGGCACTGAAGAGCTGTACTACTGGCACTAGGTAGCGAAACCCTCCCCCTCTCCCCTCCACACACACTCTAGATCTGTCTCTCTCACACACACACGTGTTGCTATATTAGTTTGCCCACTTGTCTTCATTAGCACTCCTCACACATGCTCCCATTACATTTCTACCTTAATTGGTGGCCAGATCTGCAGCTAATACATGTACATTTATATATTTGCAGACTGCCTGCACCACCCACCCCATGCCTCCCTGCCTCCCCATAGTGAGGCGCCTGCTCCAACAGATGGCAGACTCACAGCTCATCCTCCCCTCCCCAGGGACGCGTGGTGGACACAGGGCCTGCTGACGGAGCCTGATACACTCATCAATACAGCAGCTCCGCTCACCTGCTCTACTTTCAATTACAGCCCTGTGCCGACTCTCTGGAGCTGGCTGACCTGCCGCGCAGACATCTTTGGATGGCAGAAATGAAAAACATTTATACGCCCAGTCCTAAACAAAGCTACATGTAAACACACAGGGATGCACCCCCTAAACAGAAATACACACGCATGTACTTACCACACCCCTGTACACGCACACACACACACTTTATATAGCTGTCAGCCCAACATTTACACTTACATTTTAGTTATTTAGCAGACGCTCTTACCCAGAGCGACTTTCAGTTAGTGCGTTCATCTTAAGATAGTTAGGTGGGACAACCACATATCTCAGTCATAGTAAGTACATTTTTTCTCAACAAAGTAGCTATCAGCAAAGTCAGTGCAAGAAGAGGGGGGGGGGGGTCAAGTGTGAGTGTAATTTCACAAAAGGCAATTTATGAGGGGGTGCTGTGGGATTATTTAAGATACTATTTGAAGAGGTAGGGTTTCAGATGTTTTCAGAAGATGGGAGAGTCCCTGCCCATCTTCTGAAAACATCTGAAACCCTACCTCAGGGGGAAGCTGGTTACATCATTGGGGTGCCAGGACAGAGAAGAGCTTTGACTGGGCTGAGCAGGAGCTAACCAATGTGGCTAACCAAGGATAAAGGAGGCACAGGGACAGAAGCTCTGTACAGTGCCTTCAGAAAGTATTAATTCCCCTTGACTTTTTCCACATTTTGTTGTGTTACAGCCTGAATTTAAAATCGATTAAATTGATTTATTTTTCTCACCCATCTACACACAATACCCCATAATGACAAAGTGAAAACATGTTTGTAGAAATGTTTGCAAATGTATTGACAATTAAATAGAGAAATATCTGAGTCAATATATGTTATAATCACCTTTGGCAGCGATTACAGCTGTGAGTCTCTAAGAGCTTTGCACACCTGGATAGTACAATATTTGCAAATTATTCTTTTCAAAATTCTTTCAAATTGGTTGTTGATCATTGCTAGACAACCATTTTCAAGTCTTGCCATAAATTTCAAGCAGATGTAAGTCAAAACGGTAACTCGACCACTCAGGAACATTCACTGTCTTCTTGATAAGCAACTCCAGTGTAGATTTGGCCTTGTGTTTTAGGTTATTGTCCTGCTGAAAGGTGAATTCAGATTTTCCTCTAGGATTTTGCCTGTGCTTAGCTCTATTCTCTTATTTATTTTTTTATCACTAGAGAACATTATGAATGCTGGTTTATCTAAATGTTTATGTTACTTTATTCTTTGGTAATTAAATTATCCTTTATGTTTATAACATGAGTATACATTACCGGTAATTACAGGCCATAAGCCAACTATAAGCGTATACACTGAGTGCACAAAACATTAGGAACAGCTGCTCTTTCTATGACAGACTGACCAGGTGAAAGCTATGATCCCTTATTGATGTCACCTGTTAAATCCACTTCAATCAGTGTAGATGAAGGGGAGGAGACAGGTTAAATAATGATTTTTAAGCCTTGAGACAATTGAGACATGGATTGTGTGTGTGCCATTCAGAGGGTGAATGGGCAAGACAAAAGATTGAAGTGCATTTGAACAGGGTGTGGTAGTAGGTGCCAGGCGCACCGGTTTGAGTGTGACAAGAACTGCAATGTTGCTGGGTTTTTCACTTTCAACAGTTTCCTGTATGTATCAAGAATGGTCCACCACCCAAAGGTCATTAAGCCAACTTGACACATCTGTGGGAAGCATTGGAGTCAACATTGGCCAGCATCCCTGTGGAACGCTTTTGACACCTTGTCCATGCCCAGATGAATTGAGGCTGTTCTGAGGGCAAAAGGGGTGCAACTCAATATTAGGAAGGTGTTCCTAATGTTTTGTATACTCATTGTACATCATTATTTCTACCACTATGCATTAAGCAGATGAATATTCTTTCAGTCTTTCATATCTTCAGCTCAAAATCTCCCCGTTGCTTGATCAGATCATCAAATTCACTTTCAGTCTGCAGAAAGAAGTATTTACCCTGCTCAATGTCCTGAGCAGCAATGATCCGGGTCAGCAGAGCATCTCCAATGACCTTGGACTCACAGGGACGGTGTTGAACTCTGTGTGTGACGTTCCTGTAGGGCTCAATGACCAGGAGCCCTGGCATGCTGTTGGATTTTGCCAACGGGGGGGTCTCCTGGATATTTCTCTGTAGAAACTCTGTATAAGTCTTTATCAAGCCAGGGACACGGAGTTGATAGTACTGGCTCAGCACATCTACAGCACCTTCTGGTGAGGCAGTTAGACGAAACCTATGGATCCGCATGTGCATGTGGAAAGCTGCCCCATTCAGCCACTGTTTCACGCCAGCAGAGTTCATGCTTCTCTCTATTACCAACCTCTCATAGAAGTCCTCAAGCTCATGTTTAAGCTTCCGGTCGTAATATTCCAGGAGCTCTGCCATCCTCTTCTTATCATTGGCTATACTAGGAACTTGCTTTATGTACTCACTGATGATAGGGCCGATTTCTGAGGAGTGATCCGCTCCAAAAATCCTCTGTATGGGATCCATGTACGACCTTTGTCCTTGGATCTGGTGAGCCAAGACCTCAAAGAGTAGTGACAGCGCCAGCGCCACAATCCCCAGACCTCCCAGGCTCACCTTGGTGCTCCCTCCAAATGCAGACCTCAGGTCCTGGTTAAATGATGTTAGTTGCTCAGCCGACATATTCTGCTGGATGGCTGCATATTGATGTTCCAGAGCAGCAGACGAGTTCAGGGATAGGAATTTGTTGAGGGTTCTGTCCAGTGAGATGTCTGGAATGATGCCTGCATGGCTGGCTACATCAAACAGACAGTTAATGGTTTCTGAAGATGGACTGCAAGCTTTGTTACCCATGTTTGGGCTGCGGTGTCTGTCTCACGCGCTCCTCTTTCCTAAGACTTTGTCAAATACTACCTATGTATTTAAAAACATGATGGGCTGAGTCTGAAGGACATTGTCCCAGCTAGGACAAACATCTAATAACCAAACAGCGGAATGTAGGACACCACTTGCAAAAAACTATCATTATCATCATCCAATGGAAAAGGTTTGCAAATCTTTCAGCCAATGAAAAAACAGGTCATTGACTGATGCAGACTTTAGAGCAGACACAAACAGTACATGCATTGTTGTTGACACAGACTCAGTGCCTTGTTAATGCACTCTTTACCTAGCCATTCTAAAATACAAAAATTACCATATCAAATGATGCAATATTACCATCACCTTTGAGACTACCACTACACCTTTTAAAGGAACTTTTCCTCCATTCCTTTCCAGATTGCAGCTAACATTAATTACAATCATGATAGACTATTATTGACACAATATCCTGTGTTTGTGTTCGCATGTGTTACAAAAATCCATGTGTAATGCATTGACTTGTTTGAAATCAAAATACAACTAACATGGATTTCACTGACATACTTACAGTTGAAGTCGGAAGTTTACATACACCTTAGCCAAATACATTTAAACTCAGTTTTTCACAATTCCTGACATTTAATCCTAGTAAAAATTCCCTGTCTTAGGTCAGTTAGGATCACCACTTTATTTTAAGAATGTGAAATGTCAGAATAATAGTAGAGAGAATTATTTATTTCAGCTTTTATTTCTTTCATCACATTCCCTGTGGGTCAGAAGTTTACATACACTCAATTAGTATTTGGTAGCATTGCCTTTAAATGGTTTAACTTGGGTCAAACGTTTCGGGTAGCCTTCCACAAGCTTCCCACAATAAGTTGGGTGAATTTTGGCCCATTCCTCCTGACAGAGCTGGTGTAACTGAGTCAGGTTTGTAGGCCTCCTTGCTCGCACACGCTTTTTCAGTTCTGCCCACACATTTTCTATAGGATTGAGGTCAGGGCTTTGTGATGGCCACTCCAATACCTTGACTTTGTTGTCCTTAAGCCATTTTGCCACAACTTTGGAAGCATTTCTTGGGGTCATTGTCCATTTGGAAGACCCATTTGCGACCAAGCTTTAACTTCCTGACTGATGTCTTGAGATGTTGCTTCAATATATCCACATAATTTTCCTTCCTCATGATGCCATCTATTTTGTGAAGTGCACCAGTCCCTCCTGCAGCAAAGCACCCCCACAGCATGATGATGCCACCCCGTGCTTCACGGTTGGGATGGTGTTCTTCGGCTTGCAAGTATCCCCTTTTTCCTCCAAACATAACAATGGTCATTATGGCCAAACAGTTCTATTTTTGTTTCATCAGACCAGAGGACATTTCTCAAAAAAGTACGATCTTTGTCCCCATGTGCAGTTGCAAACCGTAGTCTGTCTTTTTTATGGCGGTTTTGGACCAGTGGCTTCTTCCTTGCTGAGCGGCTTTTCAGGTTATGTCGATATAGGTCTCGTTTTACTGTGGATATAGATACTTTTGTACCTGTTTCCTCCAGCAACTTCACAAGGTCCTTTGCTGTTGTTCTGGGTTTGATTTGCACTTTTCGCACCAAAGTACGTTCATCTCTAAGAGACAGAATGCGTCTCCTTCCTGAGCGGTATGACGGCTGCATGGTCCCATGGTGTTTATACTTGCGTACTATTGTTTGTACAGATGAACGTGGTACCTTCAGGCATTTGGAAATCTACAATTATTTTTCTGAGGTCTTGACTGATTTCTTTTGATTTTCCCATGATGTCAAGCAAAGAGGCACTGAGTTTGAAGGTAGGCCTTGAAATACATCTTCAGGTACACCTCCAATTGACTCAAATGATGTCAATTAGCCTATCAGAAGCTTCTAAAGCCATGACATCATTTTGAAAAACGAGCTTTAATGACTCCAACCTAAGTGTATTAAACTTCCGACTTCAACTGTAGTTTCACTCTCATATTATTTTCTGCAATTTAAAACCTTCCCGTTGGTCGATCAGTTTATAAAAGTCACATTCAGACAGCAGAAATAAGTCTTTGCTGTCTTCAATGTCCTGAGCAGCAATGATCAGAGTCAGCAGAGCATCTCCAATGACCTTGGACTCACAGAGACTGTGTTGAACTCTGTGTGTGAACTCTGTGTAGGGCTCAATGACCAGGAGCCCTAGCATACTGTCGGCTCCTGGCACTGGTGGTGTCTCCTGGATATTTTTGCTAACTTAGGCTGTATAGAGCTTGACCAGGCTGGTGAACGCAGTCTTGTAGGAGAGACGCAGGTGGAAAGCTGCCCCACACAGCCACTGTTTCATGGCCACTGACCCCATACATCTCTTGTTGGTCATCCTCACAAAATGGTCAATCAGCTCATATTTCAGGTACTGGTCATAGAGCTCTGTCACCTCCGCCATCTTGTCCATGTCAATGGATTTCTCAGGGACCAGCTTCAGGTATTCACTTACAGTGGGGAAAAAAAGTATTTAGTCAGCCACCAATTGTGCAAGTTCTCCCACTTAAAAAGATGAGAGAGGCCTGTAATTTTCATCATAGGTACACGTCAACTATGACAGACAAAATGAGAATTTTCTTTCCAGAAAATCACATTGTAGGATTTTTTATGAATTTATTTGCAAATTATGGTGGAAAATAAGTATTTGGTCAATAACAAAAGTTTCTCAATACTTTGTTATAAACCCTTTGTTGGCAATGACACAGGTCAAACGTTTTCTGTAAGTCTTCACAAGGTTTTCACACACTGTTGCTGGTATTTTGGCCCATTCCTCCATGCAGATCTCCTCTAGAGCAGTGATGTTTTGGGGCTGTCGCTGGGCAACACGGACTTTCAACTCCCTCCAAAGATTTTCCATGGGGTTGAGATCTGGAGACTGGCTAGGCCACTCCAGGACCTTGAAATGCTTCTTACGAAGCCACTCCTGCGTTGCCCGGGCGGTGTGTTTGGGATCATTGTCATGCTGAAAGACCCAGCCACGTTTCATCTTCAATGCCCTTGCTGATGGAAGGAGGTTTTCACTCAAAATCTCACGATACATGGCCCCATTCATTCTTTCCTTTACACGGATCAGTCGTCCTGGTCCCTTTGCAGAAAAACAGCCCCAAAGCATGATGTTTCCACCCCCATGCTTCACAGTAGGTATGGTGTTCTTTGGATGCAACTCAGCATTCTTTGAGTTTTTACCAAAAAGTTATATTTTGGTTTCATCTGACCATATGACGTTCTCCCAATCCTCTTCTGGATCATCCAAATGCACTCTAGCAAACTTCAGACGGGCCTGAACATGTACTGGCTTAAGCAGGGGGACACGTCTGGCACTGCAGGATTTGAGTCCCTGGCGGCGTAGTGTGTTACTGATGGTAGGCTTTGTTACTTTGGTCCCAGCTCTCTGCAGGTCATTCACTAGGTCCCCCCGTGTGGTTCTGGGATTTTTGCTCACCGTTCTTGTGATCATTTTGACCCCACAGGGTAAGAACTTGCGTGGAACCCCAGATCGAGGGAGATTATCAGTGGTCTTGTATGTCTTCCATTTCCTAATAATTGCTCCCACAGTTGATTTCTTCAAACCAAGCTGCTTACCTATTGCAGATTCAGTCTTCCCAGCCTGGTGCAGGTCTACAATTTTGTTTCTGGTGTCCTTTGACAGCTCTTTGGTCTTGGCCATAGTGGAGTTTGGAGTGTGACTGTTTGAGGTTGTGGACAGGTGTCTTTTATACTGATAACAAGTTCAAACAGGTGTCATTAATACAGGTAACGAGTGGAGGACAGAGGAGCCTCTTAAAGAAGAAGTTACAGGTCTGTGAGAGCCAGAAATCTTGCTTGTTTGTAGGTGACCAAATACTTATTTTCCACCATAATTTATTTGCAAATAAATTCATAAAAAATCCTACAATGTGATTTTCTGGATTTTTTCCCCTCCATTTTTCTGTCATAGTTGACGTGTACCTATGATGAAAATTACAGGCATCTCTCATCTTTTTAAGTGGGAGAACTTGCACAACTGTTGGCTGACTAAATACTTTTTTTCCCCACTGTATGTGGGACCCAATTCTTGAGGAATTGCTGATTCCAAAGATCATCTTTGTAGGGTTCATAGCATTCTCGTTGTCCCCCTGCCCTTTTACCTTGTGGGCTAAGACATCAAAGGGTAGGGACAGGACTAGTGCCACAACACCCACACCCCCCAAAGCCACCTTTGTGCTCCCTCCCAATGCAGACATCAGGTCCTGGTTGAAAACAGTAAGTTGTTCAGCAGGAAGGTGTTGCTGAATGGATGCATGCTGTTGGTCGAGAGCAGCACTTGAGTCCAGGGATAGGAAGCTGAGCAGTGTGTCATCTAGAGAGATATCAGGAACCAAGCCACCTGCCCTGGCAACTGAGAACATGTTCTGTATTGTTGCCGAAGATGGGAGGCAAGAAGTGATGCTTCTGAGAAGCATTATTCTCTTTCAGTATCTCTCTTACTATGACTCTCTATCACCCAATTTCTGGTGATTTCACTCTCATCTCAGCATCCGTAATATAATGCTGAAACTAAATTACAATGGTCGTGTATTTGAACAGCAAGCCTGTGGAGGACCTTGTCCTGTGAAAGTAAATCAATATTTGTTGACCCTTTTGGAGTTCATTGTATGAACCAAATAAAAAATAACATACTGTGAAATGTAGAGCACCATTTGAAAAAAATTGTATTCTGATGACCTAATAAAACGGTTCAGTGACATTAAACAACAAAAAACAGGCCATCACCACTGCACTGACACATTTGTTCCACAATGCAGTTCTACATGTATACCTGAGACACTATACACTAATTCAAGCCAACCCACATGTTGTATATGTGGATGTGGGCTCAAGTGAAGATGGGGTGTAGGTATATCCTTACAGGTGGAGTGTCAGGTGGCAGATGAGCATGTAAAGGAGCACACACAGGTTCAGCTCTAATGCACTTGTATACAGGTACTTGCGCAAAAAGTAGAATCCTTGTTACTCTCCATTTTTCAGGCTGGACCTACAAAAGAGATTCATTTAGTTACATGATTATTCTCTCAAAACGTCACATTATATTTAAAAACATATGTTGGCAGCTGTAATTCATAGAGAAACACTTCATTGGAAAAGAAGCAGGCCTAAAAGTTTGCATAGTCCAGGATGTGTAGACTAAAGGGTAAATAGCAAAACTCCTGGGAGAGGCCGCCCAATAAAAGAAGTAGCTAACCATGGGACGCCTCGGTTGTCAAGGAGTGTTGGAAACATTCCATGGAGCCCTCACAGTGTGGTGATACTTGTGTTGCAGGCAATTCATGACCTTTTGCTTTAACGTCTGAGATCGTCGACTCTATGATTTGGTTTTCTCTGCATGCTTGCTCTCAGAGGGACCAATATTCGATCATATTTGACATGTAATGTACTGGATTGAAGTAATTTATCCAACGTGTTCAGATCAACGTGTTCTTGGACGCAGCATTTCTACAAGAAAGCAACAAGAATGTAAGGATTATTTACAAACAGGCAGAATCTGTCGAGAACGCGCGACTATTTGTGAAAGATTAACAAGTGGGCTGTCCCTTCCATCGTTGTCAAGGCAACCTACACTGACTGACAGACAAACCACCCGAAGACAGACAGTTGAAGGATTTGTAAAAGTTTTTGTAAACTTATTTGGTCAGCTAATGTTTGTAATTTAATGAAAGCCTACTATTCCAGTGGGCTATTCCACAAAATAATACGCTCTGGGTATAATGGCGACTTCTACAGGCGCTGCACATGAGGCATCTGTCAGATGTGGAGTTTGGGCAGGTAGAGAACATTGGACTAACATTAAAGTTGGACGTGAAAAGAGAAATGGACCTGGGGTTCAGCAATGGTCTGACGGATCTAAATATGAAGGAGAATTTGTGAATGATTTGAAGCACGGCACAGGAGTCTTCACCTGGACAAATGGAGAGGTAGCTATTGTTGTTTGAATATAATCATTTATTGACAGTCATGAAATAGCCCCGTGGGAGGGGGTCATACAATCCTGGCTGGCCAACATTAGGCTACTTTTGTTACAAGTCGCTGTTTATAGCACGTATTGTTACAAATGTCGCAAGTAGTTAAATTATTATTTTTGTAAGACATTTTCACTATTACAGGGTCCACAGCCTATGTCATAGAGTTATTTCTATCATTTTATTCTGTAGTTTTATGATGGCTCATTCTACAAAGATTATCGTCATGGAAATGGGACGTATTCCTGGCCAGCAGGCTTCAAATTTGTTGGAAAGTTTTATTTGAACCGAAAGGAGGGCTATGGCATTCAGACCTTCCCAGATGGCACCACTTTTCAGGTAAGACAGGAGTATGAGTGTCACCTGATACCAATATCCTATGACATGTTCTGACCTTGAGGATCTGAGTAGCATTACCATACTTACACCTGACTTCTGATTTAACCTGACCCCTACAGGGGTTGTACCATGCAGACGAGCGCTTTGGGCCAGGTGTGGTGACATACCCAGATGGACGTCAGGAAGTGGGTCTGTGGCACCGGGAGAGGCTGCTGAGGCTGTGCACTGCCCTGGAGGGGGGCTTCACTCTCCATGCATTCCCAGAACACATGGCTCGGATCAACTGCAAGAAGGAGCCTAAGACCCAGTCCCAGAGCTCAGCCAAGGGGCCAGAGACCAAGGCCAAGCCTGGCACCAGGGAGGTTGGCATGGACCCACTTCTCTCTCCTTACCATGAGCTACTGCAGGACGAACGCTTTATCCTGCCCCCAGACATGGACCGCTACTCCACAGACTCGGACCACCTGCCTGTGCCCTGGGGGCTGCGTAAGGAGCTGGACCTGCAATTCTTCGGCGAGCACTGTGACAACCCAGACACTAACCCTGATGTCTCTGCAGCTTTACCACTGCAGCAGCGCATGCAGGCTCACATCCATAGGCACAGGTGAACACAAACACAGGCCAAATATATTATACAGATGGCTGAAAGCAAATAAGCTTCTTACAGGTAGACTCAAAACGGTTTATTTTGTGTCCTGCTTACCACAGTGGCCTGTCTGTTGTTGTCCCTTCATGCTGCAGGTTTGAGGTGGAGGCCCTGGATTGGGACGTGGAGGCTGTTCTGTCTGAGAACCGGGAGAGGTTTGGTCCTAAGGGATCTCTGGAGCTCAACTCAGAGGGCCTCATCCAGGAGGCCTCGCTGGGTGACCCGCAGAGTGTCTATCGTATCCTACGGGATGGTAAGATACACCCTGACGTTGGCGATGCCCGAGGACACACAGCACTCATTGCAGCTACGGTAAGGCACTGACATTGTATCACAAAGGCATGGGAGACTCCAACACAGATATGAATATGAATGGATAATATTGATGTTGTGTGCACAGGAATTACTTGTTTGGATTTCTTTACAGGTCAACTGCCATAATGATGTGATCCACCTGCTCCTGGACAGCGGAGCAGATGTGAACAATCTCAACTGTGAGGGCATGTCTGCTCTGGCTGTTTGTAATGTCCTGTACTACCCAATCCAGTCACTCCATGAGACAGTTGCAGAGAAGGTCCCACAAAAGACCCACCCAAAATCACAGGTCTGTGAGGCACCAAAACATTTGACATGACTTTCTTTGGACAGTTCTTTGCTCTAAAATGTCAGCTCTTTATTGTTTTTCTTCATTATATTTATTTGTCACTCTTATGTAAAACAGGCTGTCAAAGCCCGGTCCCCATCAGTGAACAGTCCTCAGAGCAGCATAGTGGAAGCCACCAAAAACAGAGCCCAGACCACCAAACAGGCTGACCAGCCCAACCAGGCTGACGACACTGCTCCAAAGGACCACACCAACCAGGCTGATAACGAGGCTACGGACCCTGCCCAGTGTAATGACAGTCAAGTGTCCCTTTACAATGGCCAGGGTTATTGTCAGGAAGAGGCTGACCAGGACGAGGATGAACAGTACCTCCAGGACTGCAGTGACCAGGCTGCCCTGGACCTAGACCGCATGGACATGACGGCGGTGAGGGAGAGGTGCTCCATCCAGGTGCTGGATGGGAACATCCCACTGGGCTCTGTCCCCTGGCATGAGAAGGGTGGCTCTGATGGTCTGACCCAGCAGCAGGAGGAGGGAGAGGCAGGATCAGAGGAGGACCGGAGGAGGGAGAGGAGAGGCAGCCTTATGGTTGACCCAGCATTTGACTCAACCCGCTCCCTGGCCAGCTTCCACATCCATGTCACGGAGGAGGTCATGCAGAAGACGGCCGAGGCCCTAAGCCGATCGGGCCTGGTACCACCTGCTGACACCCAGGAGACCGTCCGCAAGATGGCCCTCATGAAGACAGAGTGAGTCTGGAACAACCAGGGCTCTGTGCTCATAGGAAACATTGTGGGTTAATTTTAGAGATGCCGTCCTTACTCACATAAATTTGAATTTATCTCATAGCATGTGCAACGTAAAAACTGCAAACCATGGAGAAAATACTTAAATGGAATCATCCTCTAAATAAAACCAAGGCAATACCACAACCAAATGGGATGTGCTGATTGACATAATGTTAGGGTGGAGGTGATTAACCCCCATCTCTTTGTGTAGGCACAGGGGAAGGTGGAACACCATAAAGCTGCTACTGGACAGGGGAGCAGACCCTAACGCCTCCAGTGTGCCCATGCCTGTCCTCTTCCTGGCCATCAAGGCAGGCCACATTCAGGCTGTCAGGCGTCTGCTGGAGTGTGGAGCACGCACTGATATGTGCCTGCCTTCAGAAGTGGGCTATCTCTCACCTTATTTTTTCTCTTTCTCACTCAGCCCCACTAACAAAACACATGGCTTTCTCCTAGCTGAGTGTAGTTTACTACACAGAGTTGATGTTTCAATATGACTGTGGTTGCTGAAATGGCTTAGTGATGACAGAAGGCGAGGGTGGTTGGTTGGTCTATTCCAGTGATTAGTTACAGTCATACAGTATATCTCCTCTCATCTCATATGTTCCAGCAAAAGGGTTTCTACCCCCTGCACATTGCTGCAGCTCTCCCCGGGGCAGAGGGCCCCAAGATCACTGAGCTGTTGCTGCATGCCGTGGCAGATCCCGACGTCACCGCCCAAGACGCCTACGAGGTGTTTAAGCTGGACAAGGTCAGCAGAGTAAGAGAGGGTTTTCTGTTGTTGCCTGAGACTTGCCTCATCTTCATGGTTCATAACTGACATGTTTCCTTTTTTATATTTTTTATATATACACACGAACAACACACACGCATGCACGTGCACACACACACACACACCAACCACCCAGAATCCTGTGGAGCCCCAAGCTAGTTTTGGGAATAAGACTTCCACGTCGTCCGGCCCCCCGTCTCAGTTCTACATGGCCCCCAGTGTGCCCCCAGAAGAGGGGGGCAGGACTCCTCTGCATATGGCCTGCCAGAGAGACAAGGACTACACTGTGAGTATTGCCACTAGTCTTCAGAGTGTAAAGTTATGACTTCGTGTATGAGTATTGTGCATGTGTGGGATATTGTATGTGTGTGTATGCTGTGTGTGTATTTCAGAATGCTAGGGAGGTTGTGTCACTGCTCCTCTCCCACAAGGCAAGCACCAATCTCCTGTGGAGTGGCCACTCTCCCCTCTCTCTGGCTATCGCTAGCGGCAACGACTTGGTAAGGGCTTCAGTTCTCTCTTAGACAGGCCAAGACTGAAATACAACACCCTACGCATTCGCATTTGGCAAAACACACTTATTACTGTAAATACTTCTTAGAGGGAGTTTAAAATAAGTGTGTTACCACTCTACTCCTCCTCTCCACCTCCCCTAGTCCCCATATGTATTCATTCTGAACTTGGCCTAGGGTTTTCTTCCATCTCGCCATGACTGTTCAGTGAGCTTTCCTGCTGTGTTTTACACCCACCACTTAATGGAGAATGGCTCTATCATTATTTCCCGTGCATTTCACCTCTCCTCCCCTCTCCTTCCCCCCATCATCCCTCAGTAGCCATTGAGTACATGAATACCCTGTTATAATATGTGAGGAGTAAATCTTAACTAGCTCCTTTCATGGCACAATGTGAAATGTCTGCTCTGTTACATTCATTCTGTCCCTTCATTCGGTCACAGACCGAGGGGTTTTGAATCAGAAACACGTTTTTTCTCCAACAAAGGGAAACAGATTTTAATTTGCTGTATGAATGGCGTGCTAAACCTACAAGGATTATGGGAAGGAGGGAGGCTGCCTACTTAAGCTGGATGGGAGGGAGCACATCCTTAAGAGGAGTTGGAGGTGCTGCTGGGGACATGAAAGGCTTCTGGTGAAACACACAGTCAGGCTGAGATGATGATGGATGGGGGAGGGGGAGGGGTGGATGTGTGAGTCAACAGCAACCCAGATAGGCATTTAGTGGTGCAGGAGTCTTAACAATCCCATATACAGTCGTGGTCAAAAGTTTTGACAATGACACAAATATAAATTTTCACAAAGTCTGCTGTCTCAGTTTTTATGATGGAAATTTGCATATACTCCAGAATGTTATGAAGAGTGATCAGATGAATTGCAATTAATTGCAAAGTCCCTCTTTGCCATGAAAATGAACTTAATCCCCAAAAAATATTTCCACTGCATTTCAGACTTGCCACAAAAGGACCAGCTGACATCATGTCAGTGATTCTCTCGTTAACACAGGTGAGAGTGTTGACAAGGACAAGGCTGGAGATCACTCTGTCATGCTGATTGAGCTAGAATAACAGACTGGAAGCTTTAAAAGGAGGGTGGTGCTTGAAATCATTGTTCTTCCTCTGTTAACCATGGTTACCTGCAAGGAAACACGTGCCGTCATCATTGCTTTGCACAAAAAGGGCTTCACAGGCAAGGATATTGCTGCTAGTAAGATTGCACCTAAATCAACCATTTATCGGATCATCAAGAACTTCAAGGAGAGAGGTTCAATTGTTGTGAAGAAGGCTTCAGGGCGCCCAAGAAAGTCCAGCAAGCGCCAGGACCGTCTCCTAAAGTTGATTCAGCTGCGGGATCGGGGCACCACCAGTGCAGCGCTTGCTCAGGAATGGCAGCAGGCAGGTGTGAGTGCATCTGCACGCACAGTGAGGCGAAGACTTTTGGAGGATGGCCTGGTGTCAAGAAGGGCAGCGAGGAAGCCACTTCTTTCCAGGAAAAACATCAGGGACAGACTGATATTGTGCAAAAGGTACAGGGATTGGACTGCTGGGGACTGGGGTAAAGTCATTTTCTCTGATGAATCCCCTTTCCGATTGTTTGGGGCATCCGGAAAACACCTTGTCCGGAGGAGATAAGGTGAGCGCTACCATCAGTCCTGTGTCATGCCAACAGTAAAGCATCCTGAGACCATTCATGTGCGGGGTTGCTTCTCAGCCAAGGGAGTGGGCTCACTCACAATTTTGCCTAAGAACACAGCCATGAATAAAGAATGGTACCAACATATCCTCCGATAGCAACTACTCCCAACTATCCAAGAACAGTTTGGTGACGAACAATGCCCTTTCCAGCATGATGGAGCACCTTGCCATAAGGCAAAAGTGATAACTAAGTGGCTCGGGGAACAAAACATCGACATTTTGGGTCCATGGCCAGGAAACTCCCCAGACCTTAATCCCATTGAGAACTTGTGGTCAATCCTCAAGAGGCGGGTGGACAAACAAAAACCCAAATTTTTTGTTGTTTTGGCTCTGAACCCCAGCACTTTGGATTTGAAATGATACAATGACTACCCCCCAAGAGTTTAGTATTTGGTCCCATATTCCTAGCACGCAATGATTACTTCAAGCTTGTGACTCTACAAACTTGTTGGATGTATTTACTGTTTGTTTTGGTTGTGTTTCAGATTATTTTGTGCCCAATAGAAATTAATGGTAAATAATACTTTTGGTCCCCTAAAATGAAGGGACTATGTACAAAAAGTGCTGTAATTTCTAAACGGTTCACCAGATATGATTGAAAATACCCTCAAATTAAACAGTCTGCACTTTAACCTCATAGTCATTGTATCATTTCAAAGTGCTGAAGTACAGAGCCAAAACAACAAAAATCAGGTCACTGTCCCAATACTTTTGGAGCTCACTGTAACTGTACAGGACTGAAGCCTTGTCTTTCCCTCTTGCGTTGACCTCCTTTTTCTAATGAATGTCCTGTTAGGCTGTTGATGAGCTGCTGGCTGGGGGTGCTGACCCCAACCTCCCCCTGACCCGCCGGGTTGGCAGTGCCCTCTGTGCCATGACCAATATCAGCTACGACTGTGCGGCTCACCTCCGCAACAGAACCAAGCTGGTAAGCACATCCAGGAGGCTGCATCCATACACACTATACTGCTTCTTCTCCTCACTAAATGCAGCACATCAGGAATGTCTTTGTGTTGTTTTACTAGCTGGAGAAACTGATGAAGGCTGGTGCCAACATACTGATGCCAGTGGTGGTTGGCGAGGGCCGCAGGTGTGCTGTGGGCACCGCTGTGGACTACGCCCACTATGCATTTCACCAGGTTCAGTACCAACACAACTGTACAATACTTCAAACCTTATACTCAGAAACAGACATTCTGTAGACTTCAACTTCCATGCAAATCCTGCAGTAGTTACCTGGTGTTATTAAAGTAGAAGTGCTGGTGCCTCCCCTCATGCCCCAGGACTGGCGCATCGCCCACACCCCGTACCACGCCCTGAACCAGAGGGAGAGAGAGGCATACAATGCCCGCAGACAGATCCTCAGCGTGATGGGAGACCTACTGCGCCAGGCAGCCATCAGGATGGAGAGACAGCGTGGAGAGAGGGAGCAGGGCCTGGGCATCAGCAGTACGTGTGTGTTTGTGTTCATGTGTATGAGAGTGTGTCACTGTGAATGCGTATGTGTGAGTACATCTGTGATGTACATCTGTGATGTACTCACACATACGCACGCATACGCATTCACCGTGCATGTAATGTATGTGTGTCTGTGGCAGGTGTTAGTCCCACAGAGAAGTTTGTGTACACTGGAGCAGGATCCACTCCTCCCTGGAACAAGGCAGCCAGAGCGGTTCTCCCTGAGGAACAGGACAGCACAGAGTCCCTCCCTCAGCAGATAGAACAGCAGCAGAGGGCTGAGAAGAGGTACTAGCATCCCCAACTACACACACACACACACACACTAACACACTGACACAGTTACTGTTACCATTCAAATTCAATTGACTAATTTCTTTTAAAAATGACTATCTTTCCTCTCATTCCAGACGGGGAAGTAAGGCAGTGATTGTCAGGTGAACTATACTTTCATTTATTCAACTGCTGTCTCAGACGTCTGCTAACACTTACCAGGGTTTCACACGTGTTCTAGTAAAGTAGGCTACTGTATGAGTTGAGACTAGGAAACGACACATTTAAAGCTATAAGAGTTTTAGTCACCAGATGGCAGCAAAGTCATTGTTATGGCATGTACATGAAACTCACAATGTGATATTTATACATGCATATCTATGTGGTGTTTTCAGGAAGCCCCTGTTTAAATACTGCTACCAGTGTGGCCGTTCTGTGGGTGTGGTCCTGATCGCCTGCAGCCGCTGCCACGAGGTGTTCTACTGTAGCAAGACGTGCAAGATGAAGGCTTGGAACGACCGCCACAAGGATGAGTGTGTCCGTGTGCCAGGTCGGAAGGAAAACACCACCTCCCCCAAACCCATCCCCAATCACCTTCTCACACAGCATGCCAACACCCTTAACTAACTGATCAATCCCTGTGTGTAATTTGTTAAACACAAGTTCATATGAAGTTATACCCCAACATCCAAATTTCAGCTTTTCCCTGTTTTGTAGCACATTTGATTAAACTAATCTGCATTCCTAATCCTCAAGTGATTGGTGAGTATGTCAAAGAGCCCATAGTCTGCTTAATAGACACATTGTTTCACAATATTCATGTAATATACAGTATACATTGAGTGTATAAAACATTAAGAACACCTGCTCTTTCCATGACAGACTGACCAGTGAAAGCTATGATCCCTTATTGATGTCACTTGTTAAATCCGCTTCAATTAATCAATCAATGAAGGGGAGGAGAGAGTTGAAGAAGGATTTTTAAGCCTTGAGACAATTCAGACATGGATTGTGTATGTGTGCCATTCAGAGGGTGAATGGGCAAAACAAAATATTTAAGTGCATTTTAACAGGGTATTTTAGTAGGTGCCAGGCTCGGGGCGCATCGATTTGTGTCAGGAACTGCAACGCTGCTGGGTTTTTCACGATCAACAGTTTCCCATGTGTATCAAGAATGGTCCACCACCCAAAGGACATCCAGCCAACTTGACACAACTGTGGGAAGCATTGGAGTCAACCTGGACCAGCATCCCTGTGGAATGCTTTCGACACCTTGTAGAGTCCGTGCCCCGACAAATTGAGGCTGTTCTGAGGGCCAAACTCAATATTGGGAAGGTGTCCTTAATGTTTTGTACACTCAGTGTAATGGAAGTGCATGGTTTGGTCCTGCAGTCATTCACTTGCACATACTGTACTACAGTGGTTCTGAAACCTGTCCTCTGGGTACCCATACGTTTCACAATTGTGTTGTAGCCCTGAACTAACTCACCGGATTACCTAGTCAAGGGTCACGTTCCCCTGCTCAGACGTTGCATGCATCAACTAATGGTTGCATGCCACATCATCAACTGTGTTATCGACTGACAGATTGCTAAAACACGATAAGCTGATACCTAAAATACCTATCCAGGCGTTGTAAGATCTGGCATGCATCAGCAACGCCTGGGCACAGGAACGCACCCAATGGCTTGATGATTAGTTGACCATTTGAATCAGGTGTGCTAGGTCTGGAATAGATCAAATACATGGAACGGCTGGGGGTCCCCAAGGAGAGGTTTGACAACCCCTGCTGTACTGTACAGCAGGTTTCGCCATGCCTTTATTACTTATTGCCACTAGGTGGCACTGATACTACACAGATTGACTGAACCTGTTAACATGGCATTGATACTGAGAAGTGACTATTTGAGCTTAAAAATGAGAAATAAGAACTAGGCACAGATGGGTCATGCAGTGAGCTTGTGTCCTATGTGGATTCTTTACAGGAGTCACCCATAGTGAAAATACTCTACTAATTCAGGAGAGAAAAGGACAGCCAAGCACAGTCAAGAGTAAGGCCATGCAGTAAAACCGATATAAATATATATATATATATATATATATATATAGCAAACAACAGTGTGAGTGATGAGTATGTATGAAGATGTTTGCTATATATCTTGGAGTGTGAAAAAACATTTGTGAGGGTGAAATTAGATGATCGATTTTTACTTCTGCTTTTAGGAATTCTATGTTGACACACTACACTATAGTTTAAGTGTATTAAAGACAGTGACCTAGTACAGAGTATGTGATGACGCTGCTGTTGCTGTGACACCAGTGTTTGCAGAATCCCAAAATAACCCCACCAAGGCATCGCTGATAGAGCAGATGAAGGTCCATCTGAAGCTTGACAGGTTAAAGGAGAAGCTGGCAAGAGGGTTACTACAGGGTAGGAATACAGTAAGATAAGGCACCATATTCACTACAGAACATTATCTCAAAGTACTGAATAGAAAAGTGAAAGTCTCTGATGTGATAAGGATATTGTCTGTCAGTCACGACCCATTAGATAGAGAGATTGGGACTAAGCATGGCTCTGTGTTTGTGTCCGCAGCTAAACCCAAAGACCCAAACAACTCTGTGAGGAAGGCCAAAAGCAACGAGGGCTCTCAGGATCCAGCCGCTCAGAGACGATATTTAGGAGCCGGGGCCAAAACCAAGATGGGCCAGCTCAACCTGGCCCAGAAACTCTCAGAGAGCCAATATGAAAACCTGAAAGAGAACTACAGCTTCATCTGACAGCTACACATAGACAGATTCTGTTATATTAAAGTACTTTGGGAATGGAATATATTCTCTAGAAACATGAATGGAGGAGTGTGGTGAGTGGTAACTTGGTTTCATGTGAAACTGTGTGCCAGATGATTTGACAGACATGATAATGTGCAGTAAGATAAAATGATGACAGTCAAACAGCGTAATCATTGTATGGACAGCATCCCAGTACCTTTGACTCTGTTACCAGAAGAAGCAGTTAAAAAGAACAGTCAGTCTCAGTCGGCATCTTTAAAATGGCATCACGTTTATAATAGCTGACACAATTCATGGGGGAAAACAACGACAGCATGTTGACATATTTTCACCTCGGCATTGTTGCTCAATCACAAGAAAACCTCAAAGGGGGATTTTTTATTTATTTTTATCACCTAGGCACATTTTCAAATTGGAACATTTTACTTATGCCTCCCACTGTACTGTAGGACAATCAAGTGTGTCCACCAAATAGTTGGGGCCCCTGATTTTCTTTTCATCCCTGACACATAAAACCACATTCATACCACACACACACATTTGATGTAATCAGCCAGCCTGTATCTGTATCCAAATCAATCAGCACTTCAACATGGCGCTTCTCTCCCATTGATTTTTCCATATGAGGATTCTCTGTGCGTTGAGAGAGGGCCTGCTCATCGATTTCTCAGCGTTCATTGGGCCCGGGAACTGAGCTGAGCAGTCCAGTGTTGGGTTTGTTAGCACAAATGTTTTAAATGAAGAGCTATAAGAACCTGCAGGTAACGGGGAATGGGCTTCTTATTCAGCTTCCCACCTCAATTAATGTAAGGGGGAAATTAAGAGCAAATTATCTCACCAAATCTGCAGGCTACTGTAAGTGCCAGGGTACCATATGAAAAGCAGGTGAAGGAAGAAACATGCAGCCTCATGGGCCTGGAAGTGTTGAAGGACAGACCAGGGGCAGTGCAAATTTAGGGAATGGTGATCAAGACTGGAAAGCAGCAATCATGCTCTGTCTTCTGTTTATGTTTCTTTTAGCTCGGTTTTCAGTGTTTCTCTCCTGGGAAATCAGAAGCTGGATTCACACAGTCTTAAAACATTCATTCTACATGCATCCATTCATGCTGTACCTCTATATGACGTCAGTCACACACACAGTTTTACACAAAGTCAAAGACAGGCACTCACACACTTACATACGTACACCAATACATTGACATATACACTGTATCACCAGATCATCTCCATTCTAGCATCCACTTACTGTCTGGATGTCTCTCCCCCAACAATTTAACATTTAATCCCCATTGGCCATACATACACAATGTGCCACTACATCAGATTTATTCTCTGCTATGACAGACTGTAACTGTACACACACAGACACTTTGAAACGGTCCTCCTGTGTGTGACGGAGGGAACATGAGCCAGCTCCAACAACAATGCACTCACATTACTGACTGCACCTTCATTACAATGTCACTGTGCTCCCTGGAACATTCTAGCAATGTTTGGAGAACGTGTGACGGCGTTTTAGTCAAGGCATTCCCGCTCCACATCCAGCTGTAGTCAACTGTGCATATGGTGGGTGGGGAAGGTTCAAACCCCTAAGTTTGGGTTAGTGATAATAGATTACATGATATCACAAGATAGGAAATATGTACAAAAAGGTGCACCTTTCCTTTTTTTGACAGGTCACTAGGATGTGTCGATATACTAACCAACGTCTATGCTTGAAATTCTTCTTGTGATTTGTATGTGGGCTTGTTTTGGAGTGTGTATATTCTATGAGTGTTGCTGGCTAAGTGAGCTGTGCGTCACCTGACTGCTAACAGAATGGTGGCTTTTAGAATTTTTAAGACCAGATTGATCAAATAAAATATTAGGCACAGAAAGACTTACAGGCCTAGTATGACGGAAGCGGCTTTCTACAGCCCTTCAATAGAGAAGGGGTAGATTGTTATACTGTACCACTTGCTTTCACAGACACTTCATATCTAGTATCTTATTTTGATCACTCTGTTATCACAGATAATTTCCCTGTGCAGCAGGAAATGCAAACTTGTCGTGTATTTGAGTTTTTAAAAGGCTTCTAAAGTTTGTAATTTCCACTTTAAAATGTCAGACTTGATTTGCCCTAACAAAAATATTCAACCCCTACAAAAATGTATATTAATTATAATACACATAACAATTCACATTTCCTGTTGCTGCAAGATTATTTTCCTTTTGTGAGAAGGTCAAATTAAGATATGACATAGATATGTCACTGCTGCAGTGTTAATTAATGTGCTATTGATGCAATGGTTTTACAATAAGCCATTATTTTTATGTAATAGATACTTGAGAGATCCACATTCCCTTGTCACTGTGATTGAGATAAAAAAAAAATGAATGTGTTGGATGAGCATACTGTAGATACGCACCAAACCGGCATTCACAGTGTTCTCACAACATCACTGTAAAGTTATTGGCATTGTTAGAACATTGCAACAAGGTCACATTGACTTTACATTAGAATGGCATATTCACTAAGAAGCTTGTGCCATCCAAACATCACATGTGAACCATCCTTGTTCACCACCCAAGCATAGAAACAATAAAAAGAAGCCAAAGACCAGCTCTACTTGCCATATTAAAAAATATATAAACAAGCAAAAAAAACAAGGAATATTAATGTTCTTTGTTTTTTTCTCATCAAAATAAAAGGTAGTCCATTTATTCAATGACAATCCTTTCCTATTTGGCAAAGTTACCCACCCATCCCCCTTTTTCCGCTCTTCTGTTCCATCTCAGAGCCCTATCCAAACAGAGTCTTAATTGGATGCACCACCTGTTCATTATCGCCTGAGCAGCAGTGTGGCCAATGAGAGCAGGGGGAGGAGGATGGAGGGGTGAGTCTGGGTTCCTGTGCCCTTCACCTTCTTGTTCTCAGGAGGATTGTAGTATCTGGTGCTGTCTGTTTTGGGCACAATGACACGAGGTCCGCTACTGGCACACGACTCGCCTGTACACATTCCACTTCCTGAACCGCTGACATCATCACCTGGGGACAAGGGAAAGGCATTGGTTAATTGAAATGAGGATATCAGTGAGTCCAAGCTGTTCAAGATGTTTCTGCTACACTCCCAACTCTAACCTATACATCCAATCCCCCCCATCCCCAAACCCAATACCCCATACTCTCTAACCCTGTCTACTGCACTCTAAGCCCTTCCTCCTCCCCCGCCCGTCACTCACTGGCATCCTGGAAGTCCACGTCGTTGCCGTTGAGGGCGTTCCTCAGCCGGTTGGTCATGATCTTCAGCTGCATGATCTGCTGCCGGATAGTCATGTCTGGCTTGGTGATGTCGATTTCCACCTCTGGGTTATTGATCTGGCTGGCCAGGCCGTCACCCATCACCTCAGGAAGATACCTGGACACAGAACATATCAATACTTCACTTAGCAGGCAACACGGTTGGATTTCTATGGTACTACATTGCATTAGGATGACAAAGCTCTTGGACTAGGCCTTTATTTGAATGTGGCTTTGGACCATTAAGGAGATGTATGTCAAGTAGAATTCTGTGGGTGTAAGGTTTTATATTTATTTTCTTAGTTCACCTTGTGTTCTTGAACGTAGCTCTGTTTCTTTGTGTTCTTGAACTTAGCCCTGTTTCTTTGTGTTCTTAAACGTAGCCCTGTCTTTCATTTTGGTTCATTTATTTCACCTGTGTTAGTTACTCACCAGGTCTCATCAGCTCCTTATTTAGTTCAGGTCATTCTGTTTGTGCCTTGTGAGGTATTGTTTGTTTTGACTCTACTAAGCTGTTTCCTAGCTCGTTTGTGAGACCCAGTTATAGCCTTCAGTCCTAGTTTTGTTTCACCTGCTTGTTTGCCTACCTGTGTATGACCATTGCCTGCCTGTGACCACAATTCCTGCCTTCTGCGAAGGTGAAATAAACACCTGCTGCGCTCTGCGCGTGAATCTACACCTTTTTCTCCCTGAGTATTCATTACAGTGGGTTATGTTTTTACGGCTGGACGAATCCATTTTCCTTCAGGGATTTAGTCTATCGATTTCACCAGTTATTGATTTGTCAACCTTTTTATGTGTATCTATCTCAGTCTCTCCTCATCTTCTCTATTGTATATTCATCTATGGTCCCCTCTCTTCCACTGGACTATATTGCTGTGGTCACAGTATTTGGTGGGAAATCCTACACTCATACAGTATATACTGTATATATACAGGTAACTGACAAAATAAAGGAAACACCAACATAAAGTGTCTTAATAGAGTGTTGGGCCACCACAAGCCAGAACAGCTTCAATGCACCTTGGCATAGATTCTACAAGTCTCTGGAACTCTATTGGAGGGATGCGACACAATTCTTCCATGAGAAATGGCATCATTTGGTGTTTTGTTGATGGTGGTGGAGAACACTGTCCCAGGCACCGCTCCAGAATCTCCCATAAGTGTTAAATTGAGTTGAGATCTGGTGACTGAGACGGCCATGGTATATGGATTACATCGTTTTTATGCTCAATAAACCATTCAGTGACCACTCGTGCCATGTGGATGGGGGCATTGTCATCCTACGGGCATACAGAAGCTTTGGTAGCCAAAATAATGGCTTGCCTAGCGTGATGGGATGTTAATTGCTTAATTAACTCAGGAACCACACCTTTGTGGAAGCACCTGCTTTCAATATACTTTGTATCCCTCATTTACTCAAGTGTTTCCATTATTTTGGCAGTTGCCTGTAGCTTGAATAGCTATACTTGATGCCGGTTAACCTATCTGTAAATTACGCATATCACTTTCTGCTTACGGCTGAGCTAGCGATACAGCAAACTGAGCCCTACATGCATTATTAATGGCCCATTGCCTTGGAGTTGCATTTTTATGTCATGACCTGTCACAAATTTCAATATTTCAGCATCTCTAACTACGTTTCCATCAATGATTTACAGTGTCTTCATAGTATTCATACCTCTTGACTTATTCCACATTTTGTTGTTAAAGCCTGAATTCAAAATGTATTAAATATATTTTTTTTACGCACAATATCTACACAAAATACCCCATAATGACAAAGTGAAAACATGTTTTTAGAAATGTTTGCAAATTTATTGAAAATGAAATACAGTAATATCTCATTTACATAAGTATTCACAATCCTGAGTCAATACTTTGTTGAAGAACGTTTAGCGGCAATTACAGCTGTGAGTCTTTTTGGGTAACTCTCTAAGAGCTTTGCACACCTGGATTGTACAATATTTGCCCATTATTCTTTAAGAAATTCTTCAAGCTCTGTCAAGTTGATAGTTGATCATTGCTAGACAGACATTTTTAAGACTTGCCATAGATTTTCAAGCCGATTTAAGTCAAAACTGTAACTAGGCCACTCAGGACATTCAATGCCGTCTTGGTAAGCAACAGTGTAGATTTGGCCTTGTGTTTTACGTTATTATCCTGCTGAAAGTTGAATTCATCTCCCAGTGTCTGTTGAAAAGCAGACTGAAGCAGGTTTTCCTCTTGGATTTTGCCTGTGCTTATAGCTATATTCTGTTTTATCCAACAACAACAAAAATCCATAGTCCTTGCCGATGACAAGCATGCCCATAACATGATGCAGCCACCACAATGCTTGAAAACATGAAAAGTGGTACTCAGTGATGTGTGGATTTGCCCAAAAACATAATGCTTTGTATTCAGGACAAAAAGTTTGTTTCTTTGCCACATTTTTTGCAGTATTACTTAAGTGCCTTGTTGCAAACAGGATGCATATTTTGGGATATTTTTATTCTGTACAGTCTTCCTTCTTTTCACTCTGTCATTTAGGTTAGTATTGTGGAGTAACTACAATGTTGTTGACCCATCCTCAGTATTCTCATATCACACAACCATCAGTTGAAGAACAAGCAAATGTATAACCCCTGCAAAATTCAAAGATGGGCTGTACAGAGTATGTGTGCATATGCATATGGCAGGTGTTCTGCAGTGATGTCAAACATTTTTGCTGTACATTGATGTCTTGAAGATTTATAAGAAATTAGGACTTGTGTAAACCGCAGGGCTTTAATCGAGAATGTGGGCATACTATAGGCTATATGTATGGCGGGTGTTCTGCAGTGAAGACTAAAATGCTTTGAATTAATCAGCACCTTGGAGAACGCAGTCCATTTCACCACCATAGATATTAGGATACTTGGCTGTTTACTCTGTCTGCTGCGCTGCTACGTTGTTTGTCACTATTTTTCTCATGCGTTCCGGTACCACAAGAGCCCCCTGGATAACCCCCTCTCGTGCTCACTATGTGTTCCCGATGTACAAATTAAGCACTGCATACCGTATCACGACAGGTGTGATGGAAGCAGGACTTTGCTGTACAATTTGATAAATGCCTACAGATAATTTCTAAGTTGTAATTTCTTCGTTCGACATGGTGGGTTATTTTTGTGTCAGTAAAATTTATTATGCGAGAAATGGCGTTGTGTCTTGTCAGATATTACTGCTCTGTTGGAGCTAGGTACACAAGCCTTTCTCTACACCTGGAGCTAGGTACACAAGCATTTCTCTACACCTGCAATAACATCTGCTAAATATGTGTATGCGACCAACACATTTTGATTTTATTTGAAATATTGATATAATAACCTTCATATAGAGGTAAACTTGGAGTTAAGCGATGACAGGGTGTGTGGTCCACCCGCTACAACTCGGGAAACCATGCAGTTTATTAGGCTACAGATGAAATAAGTTATGATGAACTTAACAGGGTGGTGAAAGTGCATGGTATGAGCTTGATGGTCCTTTCCAATAAATATCGAGGGTCTTATTCTGGTGACATGAGGATCGATGCTTGGCTGCTGTTTGACAAATAAAAAATATTCTCACTGTTATCATCATGTAGACTAGCCTACCTGCACAGCCTACGAGCTGTTGGCTAGAGCGCACGTGCCAAGACCAGAGAAGGCACATTTGCTATTTAACGAAACCGCTTTTCTGAAAAAAAACGATCAGTAGAGTTGAAAATATGATGGAAACATATTGAACATTATATTTTTTATTCGGTACATGAAAACTTAAGCGAAAAAGTACATTTTGTGTGCACTACGTCGTCACGCAACTATTTTTATCCACAACAAGTCAGTTTGGTGGAAACACACCGCTGGTGGGGAAAATGCACATATTTTCTTTATGTGGATTTTAGAATATTTGCATGAAAATCTGTTGCCAATTGGATGTAAACCTAGCTACACACACACATTTATGCATACAAACTCATGCACACTCACACTTTTATATCAGCGTCCAATACTGCTTGAAACACTAACACAAACAGGCCATTAACCCACAAGTACATACATTTTTTATGACGTAGTCTGTCACATATTTCAGAGTCAATGGCCCACCATAAATCAAATTGCCCAATCTCAGTCCAATAAGGGAGGAGTTGTGGCACTGCAGAAAGGGAGGTAAATTGCTCAATAATCTATTTAGTTTAATAGCATGAAAGGGGGTGAGGGGAGGGGGGAGGCCATTTCTGAGTGAGATACAGAGGGTCTTGGAGGATTCACTAACGAGAGTGTTACATGACAATAGGCAGTGTTGTGTCTGTGCACTGTCTGCTGCTGTGTGAATGGTTAGCATGTTCATCCTGATTCTAAAGGGCATCTCAGGGTTACCTGAGCAATTCACATCCAACACAGTACAGATGTTCGCAGACAGGTGAGGAGGAATAGTATACTATGGTTAGGGGGTGATATTCTACAAATTACTGTTGACAATGTGTCAGTAACAGTCTGTCTCTGCCAGACAGCTAAAATAATGGACAGGTGCTCCTCATACCTGGCCTTGGTCATGCCATTCCAGCACTTGTCAACAGCTGCTCCTGCTGCCACTTTACTATTGCACAGAGCAGCTGGCAGTTGGACCCAGTACTGCTGCATCTCCCTCAGCTTACTGGACACATCAGATATCTAGGAGAGATAAGACATAGTTAGAATACTCAGCACACACACACACACACACAAGACAGAGAGGACATCCTGCAGTTCTAATGACACACACCTGCATCTCCAGTCGGACCCCTGCAGCGGGGCTGGGTTTGTACTCCATTGCGGTGCTGTCAGGGTTCACTCTGGTCTTTCTCTCCTCAGACCCTGAGCTCTGTGTGCCTGCCACCCTGGGGATCCCACAGGCCTGGAACACCTACCACCAAACACACAATGAAACCCACACCTTTAGACACAAATATAAGACTGAAGGGAATGGGTAATTAGTGGGAGTGAGAGTGAGAAGGTTTAGTCAGGGTTTGGTACTGGTTGAACTGACCTTGCTGGTGAAGACCTCTGTGTTCTCCTGCATGTAGAGGATGGCCTCTGAGATGCGGAGGGGGAGGGAGTAGATGACCACGTCCACACTGGGGTCAGCACTGAAGCTAGACGCCACCTGCAGCATGGTGTCTGGACAATAGAGACAGGGAAGAGAAACAAGGAGAAAGACTGTGAGAGTGTGTGCTTATTTGCAGTGTGTGTGTGTGTGTGTTGTGTGTGTGTGTGTGTGTGTGTGTTATGTGTGTGCGGGCGTCTGTGAGTGCACGTGTTTCTCTCACCGACGAGGCTCTGCCACTCTGTGTCCAGGTCGGCCTGGTTGGCGAGGCAGCCCTTCATGACGTTTCTGCAGTAGTTGGCACAGGGCTTGACGGAGGCCAAGCCTCTACAGTGAGGGCAGTACACAAGCTTCATCATGGCACGGATACACTCTGGGCTCAGAGGAACCTGGAGGGGCACACCCATCATCATCATCATCAGCAGCAGCTTTATCATCAATATCATCATCATCATCAAGGAGCTTTGCATCTTTTCAACTTTGAGGAGTAATGAGACACAGTGAGCTGCAATGGCAAGTTAGAACGATGTTGTAAAGAAATGCCTTTTCAAAATTCTGTTTTCACTCAGTCATGGTGGCTGGCACCAGAGTGGAGTAGACTAAAGAGTTGTTCCTTGCTACTGCTCAGGTGTCTGTGTCTATCAAGTCAACTGTGCATGGCTGTGCTCCAGCGATAGGGGCCGTTACACCTGTCAGTGCAGAGCCAGATGAAAAGCCCAGTAAAATTCACACACAGTGACATCTTCCCTCCCCTGATGCACTCACTAGTACCCTGCATCACTGCCATTCTCTACACAGGTCTCTGAATGCATACACAATCTCCAATACAGAGACAGAATTTCACCTTGTTTCCCTCATTGCATGTACACTACATTACCAAAAGTATGTGGACACCTGCTCGTCGAACATCTCATTCCAAAATCATGGGCATTAATATGTTGGACCCCCCCCCCCCCAACACACCCCTTTGCTGCTATAACAGCCTCCACTCTTCTGGGAAGGCTTTCCACTAGATGTTGGAACATTACTGCAGGGACTTTCTTCCATTCAGCCACAAGAGCATTAGTGAGGTCGGGCACTGATGTTGGACGATTAGGCCTGGCTCGCAATCGGCGTTCCAATTCATCACAAAGGTGTTCGATGGGGTTGAGGTCAGGGCTCTGTGAAGGCCAGTCAAGTTCTTCCACACCGATCTCAACAAACCATTTCTGTATGGACCTCGCTTTGTGCACGGGGGCATTGTCATGCTGAAACAGGAAAGGGCCTTTCCCAAACTGTTGCCACATAGTTGGAAGCACAGAATTGTCTAGAATGTCATTGTATGCTGCAGTGTTAAGATTACCCTTCACTGGAACTAAGGGGCCTAGCCCGAACCATGAAAAACAGCCCCAGACCATTATTCCTCCTCCACCAAACTTTACAGTTGGCACTATGCATTGGGGCAGGTAGCGTTCTCCTGGCATCCGCCAAACCCAGATTTGTTCGTCGGACTGCCAGATGGTGAAGCGTGATTCATCACTCCAGAGAACGCGTTCCACTGCTCCAGAGTCCAATGGCGGCGCGCTCTACACCACTCCAGCCGACGCTTGGCATTGCGCATGTTGATCTTAGGCTTGTATGCGGCTGCTCGGCCATGGAAACCCATTTCATCCTCTGTAACTTTCTCACTCATCATTATTCACAATTCATTCAGGATTATCCGTAATCATGGTAGCATCCACATTAATGTAGAAGTGTTAAAAAATATATTATATTCTTATTTATAATAAAAGTGACTCCAAAATGACGCAATACATTGTTCACCATTTCTATTGGGTACAAAATAATCTGAAACACAACCAAAACTAACTGCAAATGCATCCAACACGTTTGTAGAGTCACAATCTTGATGTAGTCATTGCATGCTAAGAACATGGGACCAAATACTAAACTTTTGACTACTTTATTTTTAAGAATCTTTAGGGGTGTCAATAATTTTGACTCCTACTGTTTTGAGAAAAAAAAAGATAACTTGTTAAACAAAATCCCTTTCTCTGAGCAATTCCATTAGTATAAAATAATATAATTTCAACAACAAAAAAATTAGCTCAGTATTTGAATTACTGGGTGTCAATAATTTCGGGCCCCACTGTATATGTGTGGTTATAATATGTATTATGATCATGATTATCATGTATTGATTATGATTATGTAGTGTGCATTGTGCAACATGAAACAGCAACAATACCATGCAGCTAATGCATAAGAGTGGTTCGGTAGGGGATAGATAAATGGATATGTAGGTGTAGATGTTTTCTAAAGGATGCTAACTGTTAGAAGAGTTGGCTATCATTTCCAATAATAATCACGCACTATTAAAGCATTCGGAGGAGGACCATGTCATTTTCCCAGAATGCAGCTTCAAATGTAGCTCCTTAAAAGGATAAGTGCGAGCTTATGCTGTCTAGAGTTTGAGACCATTAAGAACTTTACAAGGAGACTGATCAGATAACATGATTAAAGCGGCGTCATTACAACCGTTCCTTGTATTAACAGACTTCACAGGAACTCATCAACAGGGCTTAATGTAAACAGACAGCCAGCTTCCTAATACGTCCGAATGTCACCGATTGATTGTGACATCCCACAGTGTGAGATCTCCTACAGTGTGACAACAGGAGGGGGAGTGGAGCAGAGCGGAGCGGCCAGTTAATGGTGCTGCTAAATTAAGATCAGTGACAGGACAGACGCCCATGATGCCATACTGTTACATCAGCCACTGTCACTGGCAGTAACAACAGTAATCAACCATAGCTCAAAGGGATTCTTCCATCAACATGCTCTCGCTCTCGCTCTTGCTCTCTCTCTCTCTCTCTCTCTCTCTCTCTCTCTCTCTCTCTCTCTCTCTCTCTCTCTCTCTCTCTCTCTCTCTCTCTCTCTCTCTCTCTCTCTCTCTCTCTCTCTCTCTCTCTCTCTCTCTCTCTCTCTCTCTCTCTCAGATTCTCTCTCTCAGATTCTCACACACACTCACTTTCATCTATCTCTCTATACCTCCTCTTCTCCACTTCTATCTCCCTCTCCCTGTGTTCTATTTAAAAGTGGTAAAGCTGGTGGTATCGTGCTGTAAATAAAGTCTGTATTTAAATGGGCCAGACTCCGGCCTCTTTGTGCCAACATAAAGAGCGGTTTGAAATGGTGGTTCTTTTTAGGAAGAAGGGAGCGAGAGCCCACTGGATTCCTGCACGTGGCTATTGCCCTCTCTGGTGTTTGTGTAAATAGCTTGTGTATGTTCGATAAGGAACGCACAAATACACATTGATCCACTAAAAGACACAACAGATTACACATTAGATATGTGTAGGCTTAAAGTACTTTCATAATAATGTTACATTTAAATTAACATAAAACCTAAACGTTTCTCAAAGGCTCTTTCCTCTCTCCAAGAGTGTGCCAGGAATCACCTTTTGTGATTCTCTATACCACTAAAAGCATCATAAAAGTTGGCATATTAAACAGGCACTGGGCTTGTTCCACTGCTACCATCCAAAGAGACAGAGACATGTCCCAGTGGTGCCTTACTTTCATCCATTAAAGGCTAAATGTAGACTGACCAAGTAATCAGCCAGTAGACAGTGGCTGTAGTACAGTGGTTGTTAAGCTAGCCTAGCTACATTTTTCATCTGCCCCTCAGACACCCTGTTGCTGGGGAAATGCACAGCAGCCCTTTACCCATCCCTACTGAGACAAGCCCCTACTGAGACACACCCCTACTGAGACACGCCCCTACTGAAACACACCTCTACTGAGGCACACCCCTACTGAAACACGCCCCTACTGAGACACACCTCTACTGAGGCACACCCCTACTGAGACACGCCCCTACTGAGACACACCCTTAATGTGCTTTATATATGTACAATATGCATATGTTTTCACCAGGGTAACCAAGGTTAAACACACTGTTGGGGGTGAAAATTACACAGTCTCACCCAGGATATTTTCTTTCTGTGACAGATTTACGCAAGGAACTTACTCTGTGATTTACATAACAATCCCAATTTCAACTTGTTGAGAGCGTTATGGGTGTGTGCAGGGTGTTTAATGGTTAACGGTGTGGCAGATGTGAGGTGGTAATATCAGGTATAAAAAGCACAGCCATATTTATCAGAGGTAGCAACACGTGAAACAGCACATCTCTACTATAACAGTACCTGGGAGACTTTGCGGACCACCTCCCCACTGAAGGTCAGGCCCTGGACGAATGGCCGTGCCGCCACGAAGGCCCTGGTGACCTTGGGCTTGAGGTCACGGGGGACGTCCCCAAAAGGCCGCAGGGTCTCCGTCTGCTTGGCCACACACTCCAGGTAGTCGTCAGTGAGGGTGTACTGCGGGAGGACGGAGGCCTTGAACAGGCGCTCCAGCAGCCGTGCCCAGAACTCGTTGAGCGTCTCCTCCAGGTTGACAGCGGAACCGCGGTAGTAGCGACGCAGGTCAGCATACAGGTCCTGGAACACAGGGGTGTTCTTGGAGTAGAGGGAGCCCAGCGTGGCCAGCAAGGACTCTTGGAGGGAACGCTCTGAGCTGTTCAGGAGTTCTGTGAAGTACGCTGAGGAGAGAGGAGAGAGAGAGACGAGGAGTCAAATACAGGAATAGTCCGTTTTAACTATTGGACAGGTGCAGCACTTATCAATTCCTTTGCCACAGACCACTTAACACAGGGCCTGGGGAGCCTAGAGTGAGAGGAGAGACATGACTTTGGAACTTTGGAGGCGACGACCAATCAAACACTGAGATGAGAAAAGAGATAGGTGATCAATAGCAGTTAGATGGTTGACTGCTACAGCCCTCTGGTCTATTCTAAAGTGCCTAAAGGGTTCTCAGGCTCATTCACATTGATGGTTACCTGCATTCATAAACACTTCCCCCTCTTCCCCTCACTCTCTATCCCTAACTCACATTCTCTCCTTTCCTTTTTGTCTTTACCCCTCTTCCTCTCTTGCTCTCTTTTCATCGGTTTGGTTTCCAGCTGCCAGCTGCCAGCTGCAAGCCAAAACATAATTTGCTCCATCACCACCTGTCTGTCAGGAGAAACAGCACCTTCTGGGCCTCGGTACCTGTCTACTATCCCGCCCTGTGCCGCCCCTCTCCACCCACGTACCTCTCACTCTCATTCTCTCAAATAAAAAATGGAGACTGCAGTTAGTCAGTTCTACTGTACAGTATGTTGGCAATTCAAAGCATTGTGTGACATCCAACCCCAAAAACCAAGCTTAGCCTTCCCAGTGTTTGTTTCATCAGTGCTGCTGGCCTCTGCCTAAAACTCTATTGCCCACAGAGTGAACACAGGCTCAGAGGAAGTACAGCTAAATGGCCACTACTTGAAGTACAGTAGATCCCATAGAATGTGAGTATATCACCAACAAACACACAGATATACACTACCGGTCAAAAGTTTTAGAACACCTACTCATTCAAGTTTTTATTTTTATTTTTACTATTTTCTACATTGTAGAATAATAGTGAAGACATCAAAACTATGAAATAACACATATGGAATCATGTAGTAACCCAAAAAGTGTTAAACAAAAAAATATACATTTGAGATTTGAGATTCTTCAAATAGCCACCCTTTGCCTTGATGACAGCTTTGCACACTTTTGGCATTCTCTCAACCAGCTTCATGAGTTAGTCACCTGGAATGCATTTCAATTAACAGGTGTGCCTTCTTAAAAGTTAATTTATGGGGGGTGTGGGGTGGTATACAGAAGATAGCCCTATTTGGTAAAAGACCAAGTCCATATTATGGCAAGAATAGCTCAAATAATAGAATTCAAGGCACACTTAACCAGCATGGCTACCACAGCATTCTCCAGCGATACGCCATCCCATCTGGTTTGGGCTTAGTGGGACTATCATTTGTTTTTCACACCTCCAGGCTGTGTAAGGGCTATTTTCCCAAGAAGGAGAGTGATGGAGTGCTGCATCAGATGACCTGGCCTCCACAATCCCGCGACCTCAACCAAATTGAGATGATTTGGGATGAGTCGGACCGCAGAGTGAAGGAAAAGCAGCTAACAAGTGCTCAGCATATGTGGGAACTCCTTCAAGACTGTTGGAAAAGCATTCCAGGTGAAGCTGGTTGAGAGAATGCCAAGAGTGTGCAAAGCTGTCATCAAGGCAAAGGGTGGCTATTTGAAGAATCTCAAATCTCAAATATATATGTTTAACACTTTTTTGGTTACTACATGATTCCATATGTGTTATTTCATAGTTTTGATGTCTTCACTATTATTCTACTATGTAGAAAATAGTAAAAATAAAGAAAAACCCTTGAATGAGTAGGGGTCCTAAAACTTTTGACCGGTAGTGTACAGTAGGTAGTACTGTAATATCAGCACCCAGAACCAAACCAGGCTGTCACGAGATTAGCTAGACTGTAAAGTACAGATCCAACTGTCCTCCCATTTGGCACCCAGACGCATGATTGATTTGTGTTCTCCAAAAACCAAACTCACTACCCACTGGGCAAAAACTGGTTGAATCAAAAGTTGTTTCCACGTCATTTCAACCAAAAAAATCAAAGTGATGGCGTTGAATCAACGTGGAAAACTGATTGGGTTTGCAAAAACTCATCAACGTAAGGGAATTTCTTCATTTTTTCCCTCCACTTTGATCCTAAATCCAATGACATGGTGAAATGTTTTGTTGATTTCAGGTTGAATTCATGTTAGTTGAGAACTCAACCAAATGTAAATCAAAACTAGATGTTGAAATTATGACTGTACCCAGTGGGTAAGCTCTTCGTGCTACGTAAATAAACAAATAAATGGGAGTGTGGGAATGAGCAGATCGATTTGGCCCAATGTGACATACAAGGAGGAGTGTTCTAGCATGCGTGACAAACTATAGACACTGTGAGAACCTGGGAACTCAACTGTAGAACTGTAGAGCACTGTCTCAACTGCAGTTCAGTTAACAGCACTTTGCGGGTAAAGTGAGAGGAAGAGAGAAAAACTAAAACAACAAGGGACTATGCCATTGTCCTATATACCTCCTTATTGAGCCTTGCAATAAAGCAGCGGATATTGAGAGTTACAGTGTCAGGGGGAATGTAATAAAACTCTGTCACCTCCCATTCTGCTGACACAATGACTGGGCTGCTGCCTGCTGCCTGCTGCTGGAGCTGACCCCTGTAGCGAGAGGGTTAGGGAGGGCAGACTGCCTCTGACTCTCCCTCTAATCTGAGGTTTTGAATGCTGGAGACAGGGGGAGGGCCTGGGCCGGGGCCGGGCCTGTGAGTGCTGCTGCTGCTGTGGAGAAGCAGTAAAAACCTGCATTTAGCTGAGTGAGTCCAGGGCCCACGCCCGGCAACCCTAAACACAACCAGATGGCCATGCAGCTCTTACCACCACTCCTCTCTGCGTCCTTCTGTTCCTTCTGTTTCTACTGCTCCTACTGCTGATCTGTTTCTACTGCTCTTACTGCTGCTCTGTTTCTACTGCTTCTACTGCTGCTCTGTTTCTACTGCTCCTACTGCTGCTCTGTTTCTACTGCTTCTACTGCTGCTCTGTTTCTACTGCTACTACTGCTGCTCTGTTTCTACTGCTCCTACTGCTGCTCTGTTTCTACTGCTTCTACTGCTGCTCTGTTTCTACTGCTACTACTGCTGCTCTGTTTCTACTGCTCCTACTGCTGCTCTGTTTCCACTGCTTCTACTGCTGCTCTGTTTCTACTGCTCTTACTGCTGCTCTGTTTCTACTGCTTCTACTGCTGCTCTGTTTCTACTTCTACTACTGCTGCTCTGTTTCTACTTCGGCTACTGCTGCTCTGTTTCTACTGCTTCTACTGCTGCTCTGTTTCTACTGCTACTACTGCTGCTCTGTTTCTACTGCTACTACTGCTGCTCTGTTTCTACTGCTCCTACTGCTGCTCTGTTTCTACTGCTACTACTGCTGCTCTGTTTCTACTGCTACTACTGCTACTACTGCTGATCTGTTTCTACTTCTACTACTGCTACTACTGCTACCTACTGCTCCTGTACATCCTCTGTAGTCTACTGAAGACACAGCTGCAATCATACCAAATGGACTTGAAACAACACCTGCACACTTCCATTTCCTCCCCTCTCTATCGCTGCTTCATGAAGCTGTAGCTCTATGGTTCCTCTTTGATGGATTGCTTCATCTTCATCAACATCTGACTTCCCTCTGTCTCTGTGGCTGTAACCTCCTGATGTTGAGGGAGAGGAGGGGGCAGGGGTTGTGTATGCAGCTGGACTAGCTCTATACCAGCATTTCCCAAACTCGTTTCCCAAACTCGGTCCTCGGGACCCCAAGGGGTGCACGTTTTGGTTTTTGCCCTAGCACTACACAGCTGATTCAAATAATCAAAGCTTGATGATTAGTTGATTATTTGAATCAGCTGTGTAGTGCTAGGGCAAAAAACAAAACATGCACCCCTTGGGGTCCCGAGGACCGAGTTTAGAAAACCCTGTTCTGCCAGCCCAGCCCCAGCGTGCGATGGTGTCCATGTTGTTGTGTGGCCCACACCTTCCTCCTGTTGCTAAGCTAGACTAACTCTGCCAAGGTGTGTGTTACACATATCAGTCACACTGATTTCATCTCACTCCACAAATCAGAGCAGCCCAGCCGTCCAGGAAGTATAGAAAGCAGGAGAAAAAGGTACTGTCTAACTCATACCACCATACCCCTCTCTTTCTTTCTTTCTCCATATCGCCCTCCACTAGATTTAGGTCATTTAGCAGACGCTCTTATCCAGAGCGACTTACAAGAGCAATTAGGGTTAAGTGCCTTGCTCAAGGGAACATCGACATATTTTTCACCTAGTCGGCTCGGGGATTAGAACCAGCGACCTTTCGGTTACTGGCACAACGCTCTTAACCACTAAGCTACCTGCCGCCCCAGTACCCACTACCTCTAATCAATCCATCATTCCCTTCTCTCCCTCTGTCTGTTTTTCTCTCTGTCCCTCTTTCTTCTCTCTCTTCCACTACTTACCCGCTTCACCCTCCTCTTTCTCTGCCCTTTTCTCCCTCTCTCTCTCATTACTCTGATGTGTGGTGATGTGACGCTTCTGGCAGCCACTCTCCTCATTGGGTCAAATGCTCATTAGCAGGGCCAGCATCCCGGCCTGTGGAGGTGGATGGAGTGGAGGAGGGGGCAGCTTATCACATTTCACCCCTCCCTCCTCCCCACATCCCCACCATGGTGTCTGCAAGGTTCCATGACTCATTACCACAGCCAATCATAAATCATAAGTCTCCCAGCGGCCCGCCTTCTCCTCTCCTTTCTGTGTCTACCTCTGTCTCTGCCACTCTGATGACAGCTAGGGCTCATCAAGACAGGAAATATGACTGCATGCCATCATCCCCTGTTTTAATCTTATGTTAATCAGACGGATGGATGGAGGTCCAGATTACTTTGTGGGAGATTTAATTTCCAGAGCAAACATCCATGTTTCAGGCATCATCAGCTGCTGTCATCGGGGTACAATATCCTCCAGCTCCATAATGTTACTGTAGCTGGAGCCTCAGGACTATATAAATAGAGTTTATTAGTGATGGGTCAAAGATTGCAGTAATGTCTTCAAAATTCTCAGAACAAGTCAAGGACACTATCAAGGTCATCCAGTTCTTGAAAAAATTGCACACAACTACAGACTTGAGGCTGGTGTCAAGACAGGGAGCGCTTAAGAAATGTCAGGAGGTATCAGCATTTTGACAAAAACACACAATTCCCAATGTCTAGTGACCTCCTTTACCTTTCAGGCTGACAGCTCAGCGTGTCTTTCTGATGTGTGGACATTTATTTGGTTTGTTTATTTATCTGAGAGCACGTCAACACTTGCCCTATCCTCTCGTTAAACAACTGAATCACAAACAGAGTAGATGCCCATGTTCATTTTATGAGTGTTTGTGTGTATTGTGTGTATTGTGTGTGTTGTGTGTGTTGTGTGTGTATTGTATGTATATTGTGTGTATTGTATGTATTGTGTGTATTGTGTGTGTGTGTGTATTGTGTGTGTGTTGTGTGTATTGTGTGTATTGTGTGTGTTCTGTGTATTGTGTGTGTTCTGTGTATTGTGTGATTTGTGTGTAAGTGGGTGCGTGCGTGCGTCTGTGCGTGTATTGTCAGTATAGAGGAGAGTATGAGTTCTCTGTGGCTACTCACTGTCGAAGCTCCTGTAATGTGCGTTGAGGGAGGCCTGTAGCGAGCGCCCTGACTCTCTGACCAGCCCCTCAAACTCCCTGCGACTGAGGTTAAACAGGGTCTCCTCCATGGCACTGGTACAGCAGGTGTACCCCTGGGGACAGATCCGCAGGTGCTCACCTAGGGAGAAGACAGAGGAGAGGACATGTTTAGGGTTTTATTCACTTAATACCAAATAGTCGATTTTAGTGAGGCTCTAAGAGCGTTAGGCCAGTAACCGAAAGGTTGCTGGTTGGAATCCACGAGCCGACTAGGTAAAAAATCTGTTGATGTGCCCTTGCGCAAGGCGCTTAACCCTAATTGCTCCTTTAAGTCGCTCTGGATAAGAGCGTCTGCTAAATGACTAACATGTAAATGTAATACAAACTATCTTTCCATACATTTATTTGGTTCTGTCTGTATTTTGTTTGTTCATTCAGCAACAGCACAAATATCCGATGAACTGAAAATGGTCCATAATGGATTGCTACTGGTCTCTGTAACCTGTGGAGTAATCAATCTCTTAATAACCTATGGAGTAATCAATATCTTAAGGATCTAAAAATAGCTGTGCAGGCTCCTCTGCTTCCCCAGAACCCACAGTAATAAGAGTGAGAGGATGATATCTCATTGTTACCACCAATTGCACAGATCACTTTAGGGTCATTTGTTAACAGAATGTGTAATTTAGCCTATTAAAACACAAAAACAATGTTTCAAGTGAGAATTAGGCTGGTCTGATGCCGAAAAAGAAAGGACATTTTTGCCTACGCCTATATTTTATCTTATTTTTTGCAAAAAAAAGTGGTGTGTAGTTCCAGTAGTTAGCTACACCACTACATGGCAAAAAAAGTAATTAACTACTGAAAACACTACCTAGATTTGAATTTAGTTCAACTATCACTTAGCTACTGCAATATGTAGTTAAATTACTAGTTGAACTATATGTAGTTCACTACTCCCCAACACTGGAAAACTACACTGGAGAATGGGTCATTCCAGACACATATAAACAACCAGATGACATATATAAAAAAACACATTAACCTAAATGAACACTGTTTGTTACAGATCTGCATAAAGATGCAAAACACACCGAAATCTTTGCGGTGCGGCATGTGAACATTGCTGGAAGTGATAGCACAGCAGTGGAACACACACACACACACATCCATATGGAAAATAGTTATGAAAATCAAATAAGAGTTTTTACATTTATATGTCAGTGGTGTATTTGTATATGTGTTAACTTATATGCCTTATATGACATACACAATTTCATTTCCTACAAAGACATGGTATGACATATTTCAGACAAAATATATGAATTATATGAGCCATCTATGAATATTATAAGAAAAGTGTATGTTCTGAGAATGTAACCTCTACAAATGAAATGCTTTCCTTATAGGTTTCACATTGTTTTTTATAAGTCAACATATAAAAAAAACATGACAATTACTATAAGAAAAATACAATATTTGTATATACATTTTAATTTCTGAGTTTCCATGGTTAAGGCTGGGAAGCGCCTCCTACTGGACAGTTGATTTACCTACAGCTACACCTTTGGTCTCCTATCCAGGGTTTTAGCCAAGTCAAGCCCTGCATAGCTTTGGTATTTGTCACTGACTACTACCAGTGGTGGAAAAAGTACCCAATTTTCATACTTAAGTAAAAGTAAAGATACCTTAATAGAAAATGACTCAAGTAAAAGTGAAAATCACCCAGTAAAATACTACTTGAGTAAAAGTCTAAAAGTATTTGGTTTTAAATATACTTAAGTATCAAAAGTAAATGTAATTGCTAAAATATACTTAAGTATCAAAAGTAAAAGTAAAAGTATAAATCATTTGAAATTCCTTATATTAAGCAAACCAGACGGCATCATTTTCTTGTATTTTATTTATTTACGGATAGCCAGGGGCACACTCCAACACTCAGACATAATTTACAAACGAAGCATGTGTTTAGTGAGTCCACCAGATAAGAGGCTGTAGGGATGACCAAGGATGTTCTTTTGATAATTGTGTGAATTAGACCATTTTATTGTCCTGCTAAACATTCAAAATGTAATGAGTACTTTTGGGTGTCAGGGAAAAAGTACATAATTTTCTTTACGAATGTAGTTAAGTAAAAGTAAAAGTTGTCAAAAATATAAATAGTAAAGTAAAGAACAGATACCCCAAAAAAATGACTTAAGTAGAACTTTCAAGTATTTTCACTTAAGCACTTTACACCACTGACTACTACCAATGTGCTATTGCGAGAATGATTGATGAGAGATCTCCCCCTCCCCTCCTCCCCCTCCTCCTCCTGTCCTCCTCTTCTCTCCCCCTCCTCCTCCTCCCCTCCTGCTATTCCCCTCCCCTCCTCCCCCTCAGCCTCCTGTCCTACAGCTGACCCTCCTCCTCCCCCCTCCAGCCCCTCTCCTCCTCCTCCTCCTACCTAGCCTCCTACCTACCACTCCCATCCTCGCACTCATTCCTCCTCACCTCCCTCCTCCTCTCCCTCTCCTCCCCTCCCCCCTCCCCTCCTCCTCCTGTCCTCCTCCCCCTCTCCTCCTCATCTCCTCTTCCTCTTCTTCTCTCCTCTCCTCCTCCTCTCCCCCTCCTCCTCCTGTCCTCATCATCCCCCCTCCTCCTCCTCTCCTCCTCCCCCTCTCCTCCTCCCCCTCTGCTTTCCCCCTTCCTTCGCCTACTCCCCCTGCTCCTCCTCACGGCAGACTTTGCTTCTTTTTTCAATAAGTGTCACATTGCATGCGTCAATGACGTCAGACAGTGGTTTGCAAGTGCTTTGAAATGTGTATGTCCCATGTACTGTATGTGAGACCTTAGAAGGCTTAGCTTACATGTCTCTTGTACGTTTTTTATATAATACGTACAACATTTCTGTTATGTCTAAATGTTAACCACCCATATAAGTCAGATATTACAAGAATCTTCTATGAAGTGTATTTGCTGCCATATGTATTACTGACAAGTTCCAGGTAGAACATATAACAATGTTGTTAAATTCTTCTACTGTATATATTTTCCACACACACACACACACACACACACACACACACACGCAGAAGAGAGAAAGAGCCAGACAGTTTAGAATGCAGTCTGCAGTCCCAGTCACCAAGCAGGCGGGGGTGAGCCTGAGGAGGGGGTTAGGCGTAGGGGGGATGGGGGTGAGTGGTCTACCTGCCTGCCGACGGCAGTGAGCCCCCCAGCCCTCTATGCCACTTCACAAACAGGTTCTCTGCTAAAGCCCTGTCTCTGCCTGGCCCTGGCTGTCTGTCCAGGGAACTGGAGCGAGAGATGCTATCGCATCCATGCATCTTTTATGAATCCTGACTACAGCAGGAGGGAAAAGTGCAGAGAAATTTCTATTCACTTTTTATTTATTTCCTCACATCTTTTATCTTAAAATTCAAGAGAAGGGAAATAGGATCTGTGTGCCAGGAAGCTCACTAGTTGTGTGGTAGTCAAGCAGTGGTCTGTCTGTTTTCCTGTAGTCTTTTGCACAGCATGTGGCATTGTGGCAGGAGTATTTCCAATGAGGAGTATTTGCAATCCTTTATATCAAATCAAACAACTTTGAGAGGACATGAAAAGGGATGATTGAGCCTGATCGTGATCATGCTGTATAAAGCGATGAGAAGGGTAGAACTCTGTTAATTTGACAGCCATTTTTACTGTGCATTCTCCTATCGTAAACTCCTTCCTCGTGCCTCTCTCATGTCTCAAAGTGTTAAAATCTCTTTACTTTGAAACAGCGCTTAGCTTCTGAAGCGAGACTTCAAACAGGTTGTGCTGAGGTGATTTGATATGCAGCGCAAAGTGTGAACCAATAAAAACACAATGGAGGGATACTAGTAGAAATTATATTGTGTGTCTCACTGGTAGGCCTAAAAAGGCTTAAATCCCATTAAACATCTCATCTTGTGGCCAGCTCCTGAGTGCTCGTCCATTTTAGTCAGAGAGCAGGGGGAAGGCGTGTGGCCTGCATTTCAATGACTGCTGACAGCGAACAAGGAGAGACAAGACTGATAAATCCGATTTGTCGTGTGCACACACATTCATACAAGCCAGGAACACAGGGACACACACGCCTGAGCACCCAGACACACACACACACCTCCCTCCCTAATCCATAGACATGCAAAGACAGACACACAGAATAACAACTAGCAAGTCATCATCAGTATGCAGATATGATCACATCTCCCATTGGACAAGTAAGACAGCAAGGTCCCTGAGACCTACGCCTACATTATGTAGATCTCTTAGAATGCTATATATGTAACATTCAGCACTCCGTATATAGAAGCTCTATGCCTATCTATGTATTATCTGTGATGGGTATGATTGAAAATGGGCATGTAGTTCCTAGCTATAGTGGCTAGTGGGCTATTGTCCTGTTTGCTGCTCAGTGTTCGACAGACAGACAGACAGACAGACCTGGTCTGGCTCTGGCTGGCTGTGTGAGGGAGCAGGTGCGGGGAGAGAGTCCTGCCCACTTATAGCGTTTATTCAAGAGGCAGATTACTGCTGAGGGAGATGAGGGGTGGCCAAGCTTGCCCCCTGTGTCACACTAATCGAATCAAAGCCCATTCATAGCCAATTAGAGCTCTGCCAGCAACAGTCAAAGGCACAACACACACATAATACAGGCTAATACAATCTGCAAGACTTCCACAGAAAATGTACCTAGCAAATCTAGATTGGACAGCCGTTGAAAGAGAATGTTGACTTTGACTATTTGTCCATGAACCTGCACTCTCCATCCCATATCACATCTATCTCTATTGGCTGTCGTTTCTGCAACCAGAAATGAATGTCTGGACAGACGATTGTGGCCAGCCTACAAATGTCTGTTGGTGACAAACTACCTAAATGGAACCATGCAAAAGAGATTGAAAAGAAACCCATTCCAGATGCTTGGAAAGGGCAATAAAAGGCTTGAAAAGACTTCCAGAATGTCTAACCTTAACTAACTGGAAACTTTGGTTAGAAGAGGCAAAAACATCCAAATGGAGGATTTGCCGTTCCACTTTAATATATTTAATTGTGTTTGGTTTAACCACTGATCTGTGGATGGAGGAAACACATTTCCACCACAGACAGAGATGTTTGTTGTCACTAGACTGTGAAGTATGTTTACTACAGTAAAGGGGCTTAACAACGTTCCAGCGTTGCTTCGTAATGGAAACTGGGTATCCTGCAGGAGCTATAAAGTTAATTCACTTACAGTGACAAACACATATACTGCAGCTATTAGGGGTGGATCACAGTCCCATATAGGCTGTTTGTTCCATATGGGTGCATTGGATGTACTGTTACAGTACATAATGACAATGAACACAATGATATAGGTTTCTCTGCACCCTATCATACTGTAGCAGGGATAATGAATGATGCTCAGTCACTCTGCATCTGTCTCTACCAGGCTGCTCCTTCTCTCTCTCCATCTACAGACACTACAGTGCCTTGCAAAAGTATTCATCCCCCTTGGCGTTTTTCCTACTTTGTTGCATTACAACCTGTAATTGAAATGGATTTTTATTTGGATTTCATGTAATGGACATACACAAAATAGTCCAAATTGGTGAAGTGAAATTTTAAAAAATAACTTGTTTCAAAAGTGGTGCGTGCATATGTATTCACCCCCTTTGCTATGAAGCACCTAAATAAGATCTGGTGCAACCAATTACCGTCAAAAGTCACATAATTAGTTAAATAAAGTCCACCTGTGTGTCACATGATCTGTCACATGATCTCAGTATATATACACCTGTTCTGAAAGGCCCCAGAGTCTGCAACACCACTAATCAAGGGGCACCACCAAGCAAGCGGCACCATGAAGACCAAGGAGCTCTCCAAACAGGTCAGGGACAAAGTTGTGGAGAAGTACAGATCAGGGTTGGGTTATAAAAAAATATCAAAAACTTTGAACATCCCACGGAGCACCATTAAATCCATTATTAAAAAATTGAAAGAATATGGCACCACAACAAACCTGCCAAGAGAGGGCCGCCCACCAAAACTCACAGACCAGGCAAGGAGGGCATTAATCAGAGAGGCAAAAAAGAGACCAAAGATAACCCTGAAGGAGCTGCAAAGCTCCACAGCGGAGATTGAAGTATCTGTCCATAGGACCACTTTAAGCAGTACACTCCACAGAGCTGGGCTTTACAGAAGTGTGGCCAGAAAAAAACCATTGCTTAAAGAAAAAAATAAGCAAACACGTTTGGTGTTCGCCAAAAGGCATGTGGGAGACTCCCCAAACATATGGAAGAAGGTACTCTGGTCAGATGAGAGTAAAATTGAGCCATCAAGGAAAACGCTATGTCTGGCGCAAACCCAACACCTCTCATCACCACGAGAACACCATCCCCACAGTGAAGCATGGTGGTGGCAGCATCATGCTGTGGGGATGTTTTTCATCGGCAGGGACTGGGAAACTGGTCAGAATTGAAGGAATGATGGATGGCGCTAAATACAGGGAAATTCTGGAGGGAAACCTGTTTCAGTCTTCCAGAAATTTGAGGTTCACCTTCCAGCAGGACAATGACCCTAAGCATACTGCTAAAGCAACAATCGAGTGATTTAAGGGGAAACATTTAAATGTATTGGAATGGCCTAGTCAAAGCCAAGACCTCAATCCAATTGAGAATCTGTGGTATGACTTAAAGACTGCTGTACACCAGCAGAATCCATCCAACTTGAAGGAGCTGGAGCAGTTTTGCCTTGAAGAATGGGCAAGAATCCCAGTGGCTAGATGTGCCAAGCTTATAGAGACATACCCCATGAGATTTGCAGCTGTAATTGCTGCAAAAGGTGGCTCTACAAAGTATTGACTTTGGGGAGGTGAATAGTAATGCATGCGCAAGTTTTCAGTTTTTTTGTCTTATTTCTTGTTTGTTTCACAATAACAAATATTTTGCATCTTGAAAGTGGTAGGCATTTTGTGTAAATCAAATGATACAAACCCCCAAAAAATCCATTTTAATTCCAGGTTATAAGGCAACAAAATAGGAAAATGCCAAGGGGGGTGAATACTTTCGCAAGCCACTGTACCAATGTGTTTAAGTTGACTTATTCTTTCTCTGTTGTCCCCCATCTTTCTTTCCATCTATTGCTCTCTGTGCACCGCAGTGTAAAAGGATCCAGTTTACAACAATGCACCACTTTACATTCCATTAACATTATTCACAACTGTATTTGAAATCCATCTGAGAATAGCAGATCTAGACCCATATCCACCGGTACATGCAGCTCATTCTACAGCCCACACATAGAAATTAGATTGGCTCAAACACCGCATTAATGATTCCATTTAAACCACTGCATTTTCCAATCCATCTGATGTGACTCATTTCATAGATAATGTCAATGAGATTGTTGAGCATGTATCTGGGATGTGGGCCAGTGTTTTAACATGGCAGCCCCTCTTTCCCCTCCCTCCCCACATCTCCACCCACCAGCCACACCGTCACTCCAATTACTCCCTGCCTACAGTTTAATCTGCAAAAGGAAATGGGAGTCATTTCTAAATGCTGTATAATTTTACGGGCACCTTGGCTCTGGGAGGGGCCATTCAGTGACGGTGTGTCCATTTTGGAAAGTGTGACATCACCACCGGGGCCAGGGCGCAGTGCGCTGTGTCTGACGGTGGAGGGGAACATGACAGACGGGATGGAATGGGGGGGTGACACTGCTCCTCAGCCAGGTGTTGACAGGGTAGACGCCGGGGCCGACTCAGTGAAAGGTCGCCAGACACGCCCGGTGCACTAACGCCAGCCGTCTGTATTCAGAGAAAGGCTGAGCCGTCACCTGATATTAGACACCTTTCTCAGCCATGTGCACAGAGACACACAGACGCGTGAGCACGAAGATACACAGACACAGAACAGACACACACACACAGGAAGTTTACACACAGCCTGCAGGCCACCACCCAAGGGTATTAAAGGTTAGAGAATGCAAAGCAACTGGTAAGGAATTATTTATACGTTACATTTTACAGTACAGCACAGAGGAAGAGAGCACCTAATCACTAATCTAGTTTGGCATGGTAACTAAGGATCTATGGATCATATTATCAGGCAAATGGTGTTAGTGCTGAACAGGAGCTTGAGCTTTTGTTTCAGGGCATGATGAACATACACTCTTAGAAAGAAAGGTGCTATCTACATAGCCGCTGGAAGTAGGGGTGCTGAGGGTGCTGCAGCACCCTCTAACAAAATGTTTACAAATATCTTTGGCAAAAAAAGTACAGCACTCCCCACCCCCAAACTACTTCCCGAAAATAGTTCTTCATGGAATGTTGATGTCA